ACTCTCTCTCTCTCTCTCTCTCTCTCTCTCTCTCTCTCTCTCTCTCTCTCTCCCTCTCTTTCTGCCGCTCACCACTTTCCTTCCACACACATATGGGTGGTTGGCAGGTGCTCTGGTGTGGTTTGCTGCTTGTTTCCTATCAAACATCTATCGTCCTTATCTCCCCTTTTTCTTTTTTTTATGTTTGTTACTCTCTTGTGACACCACTAATCTTCTGGCGCTCATATGACCTTATGCAGTTGCGAGCGCCGTAAAACCTCTACTAGAAAATCCCACACACATACTCTCATACACTCATCGTGTGCTCTTTTATTATAGTCTGGCAGCCAGGAAGGTTGTATCCCTCCCAACCTCGTTTGGCTTTGGCAAGCAGGGTCGAAGCAGTTAGCGTCTTAAATTATGAACTAAATTGTTGTGTGGCTGCTGGCGTAAAACATCGAAAATCACATTCAATCACTGGGGCACCACTCTTCTTTTGTCTTTATACGACCATGTGTTGGTAAAATCTGGACTGGAAACAGTTTGAAGACAAGCCAAGGGCATTGCATTTTTACATGGCTGTGAGCATACAACGAAGTGTTGCAATAGCTAAAGACGGTTTCAGTGCAATTAAGTCCTTAAAAATAGAATCGTCTCAGTGACATCTAAAGTACATGTATGAAAAGCTACATGTGGTCAGCGCTTCTATACAGCAGCGAAAGCTTGGCAATTGCTTGAGGTATTGAAAACAAAAAAGAGGCAACAGAAATGTTGCTTCTTAGAGATGCAGTTTGTGGGGCACTTTCATCCTCTTAGAAGACTTGAACATCCTTCTGTCACTGGAGGAAGATAATAGGCCTAAGATCCGGGGGTAGGCCAAGAACAATTTTGAGAACTTATACCGATCGAAGACTGTGAAAGACTTAGATGATTTTAGTCTTTTGTTAGCATCCGAGCAGAGATATGAATGGCGAACTATGAGTGCCCGTGTTTGCCCCACATCATGCACTCCTTGAGTTGTTCTGTACCTTGAGCGGCGTTTGTTTGTTTACTGGTTTTTCGCCAAATCCCATTTGATTGACTCTAGAAAGGTGACGCTATAGAAGTTTGGTAGTAAGACAATGATAAAAAATTATCTTGATCTGAAGATTACTGGAAATGTCTAGTGAAAACTGTTATGGCTGCTGAATAGGCGGTTCGGCAGGCCCCCAAGGACTTGAAGTCAAATATCCCCATCATCAAAATTTTTTACCATCTTACTAAGACTTTAAATTGGAGGGGGGGGGGGTTGGAGGGCGCAAATGGTAGGTCTCCGCTTTCTTTCTCTCTGCAATTTCTGTCCATCTGTCTTGCTTTTTCACTGCACTAAATGACCTTTATTGTATGGTCGTGCTTTTCTTTCAAACATGCAATTTAACATATTATGTTCACAACTGCTTTAACAATTAAATAATGTGCGGACGGGTTATAGATCTAGGTCTTTGAGGGGTTTTTATGGCTTACTGTTGTCGCCGTTGTCATAGCCTCTTTGGAAGTAGTCAGTAGCAGTCTTACTAAACCTCTATGACGTTATTTGGAAATAGATAGACCTAGAACGCACATCCGGGGTCTCCAATCTCCGTGGGGCCACCTGTGGGTCGCCGTGACGTCATTTGCAAAAGATAAATTTAACTTATTTTAACACCAGGGAGTCAAAATCCACATTGTTACTCGTTAATGATAACCTGCGAGCGTGACAGGCCCCATCTTGTTGTGAAAAACATCTCCAGGTGTGTATATGTGAAAATGCGCCCCCCCCACCTTCTCCCACCATGACGTCACAACTTTCCGTGCGAAGAGTTTGAACTTGAACTCACCCCATTTTGCATTCGAATATTTTAAGTAATAGCCTTAGAGGCACATCAAAACTGGTAAAGGATCGTTCACATCTCTGTGGGTATGTGCTATTTTTCTTTATTTGAAGAGCACTGTCATAGAAACCCCTGTTTACCTCTGGGAAGTAAGAATAGGCCTTCAAGCAGGATATAGTTTTTATGTTGGATACGAATGGTTAAAATGAGAATTAAAAAGTCATCAGTGAGAGCTGAGATAAAAACTTGTCTTTAAAGTGAAACCGTTTATAAAATAATTCATCCTCTTGACAAACTGGGTCAAATGTTACTCTGTAATTTTCTTCGTTGCAATTTTATTCTTTCACACTCCACACGTGTTTTAGTGTTAGTATGGCTCTGTTCATGAACTTGGCAGCTTCCGTGGGTCAATTTGTGGTTTTGTAGTCTTGTCATTTGCTAGTGGTCACTAAGTTTTCGAATGAAAAGGAAAGTATTTGGTGACGAGCACATGAATGAGAATTCTCACTACAGTTTGTTGTTCTGGAGGCGCGCGCGTGTGTGTGTGTGGGGGGAGGGGTGGGATAGTTTCGATCTTGATCTGAAGCCGCCAGGGTGCTCAGGCCAGGTGGAAAGCGAGGCCTGGGCTTACGTCACACAATGTGTTAAAGCAGCTGCAGTAGTAGAGAGCATTCGATTTGAATGCTACTGGCTCATTTAGCTATAACGATACCAACGGGGTTTTG